GACCCCGACGTGAAAATCAGGAAGTTGATTCCAAGAACAAAACTTTCAAAAACCAAGCCAATATTTCAAACAAAAGGAATTTCAAAAAACCCATCACTGCAAAAACTTTTCAAAATCACACTGCAATCGATGGATCATGCAAAAAGGCATGTAGAGTGACAAAAACTGTTGAATCAAACACCTTAGTAAATTTTCAAATAAAAGTTAGGCCACCATCACCAAATTCCTTAAAAGAACCAAAATTGAAGGGTATTTTACATACTTCACATTCTTTGAAAACCCATCAATCAGTCAAAAAGTCAAAGCCTAATTCTAGGTCCTTTAACAAGCCTTTTTCAAAAACATCGAAGACTCCGAAAGAACACAACCCAAGGACTAGTCCAAAGATAAAGAACATACCCTCCAGACCGTTAACCAAGTTCAAACTATGGATAAATGAATAGATCCTCTCTTTTTTCTTTTATCCACTGACAAAAAGGAAATGTCAAATCCCATGTCGAAATGTCCAAAGGAAAATTGGACATCATGGACAAAGACAAGAATGGAAAAAGAAATCCCTTTATGACTCCCACATGCATACTCTTAATAGAATTATTTATCATATTACCTCAGGCTCCAAACTAGTTTGGGTGCCCAAAGTAACCAACTGATCATGCATGCTATATGCAAGGAGGACTATGAAGAAGAATGGTTAATTGATAGTACCTGCTCCTTGTACATGACTGGAAGTTTAGAATACCTTTGAGACTTTAGGCCGATCAGTAGTGGAAAAGACGCTACCTTTGGGAACAATGGAAATGGAATAATCAGGGGATATGGAGTGTTGACTACGGGTAGCTTTTCAATTCAACGAGTTACTTATGTAGATAGTCTTATATACAACTTGATTAGTGTTGGTCAATTGTGCAAAGTTGGTCATCAGGTAGAGTTCGACAATGAGTATTGCTATATCATGACGAGTGACAGAAACAAATGCTTGATCAAATCCAAAGCCGAAGGGACAATGTACCCACTGGATGTCTCTTTAATCATCAAAAAACCACAACTATGTTTCCTGCCGAAAACAGTATCTGAGGTGAGCTGGTTATGGCATCAAAAGCTAGCACATCTTAATTTCAGATACATCAATAACTTGGTAACTGAAGAGTTATTCAGAGGACTACCAGTTCTAAAGTTCAATAATGATACTTTGTGCCCAACTTGTGAGTGTTGTAAACAAACCAAGGGAAGTCATCCATTGATAATTGATTCCTCGATTGTTGAACCTCTATAACTTCTACATATAGACCTCTATAGTCCTTCAACTATAGCCAACCTTATGGTTATATTTGATGACTTTATTCATTTCACTTGGGACTTCTTTCTAAGACTCAAATCAGACACACCACAGATCTTGATTAACTTCATCAAAGAGATAGAGCTTCAAATCAAACTTCCCATGAGAAGAATAAGAATTGATAATGGCACAGAGTTTCCTAATCAGCTGTTAAATAGCTTTTTGGTATCAAAAAGGATTAATCATAACTTCTCGATACCATACATACCGCATCAAAATGAAGTGGTGGAGAGGAGGAACATAACATTGGTCAAAGCTACAGGATCCATGCTCAACTTTGCCAATTTACCTATCTAATTTTGGCTGAAGCAGTGGCAACTGCTTCTTTTGTTCAAAATCGAAGTATCATCTGTAAATGCCTCAACAAGACTCCGCATGAAGGTCTGAACAATCGAAAACCCAATGTACGTTTCTTTCACATTTTTGGATGCAGGTGTTTTGTGGTCAACAACAAAGATCATCTCAACAAATTTGCACCAAAGTCCAATGAAGGCATCTTCTTCGGTTACTCAAGAAACAAAGTTGCATACAAAGTTCTTATAAGGCGAACAAGACCAATAGTCAAAAGTTTCGATGTTAAATTTGAATACTATTATGTACGCTACACGGCTCCCCTTACAAAAACAAAGTTCATTCTGGAGAGTGATATCTCACCATCCTCGGGTCCATTAAACATAGTTGAAGTCAAGTATGATGACCTCTTCGATCCTGCAAAAACTTCACATCTTTCAGAAATACTGGTGTCTTCGGTAGCACAACAACAACATGCAGAAGTATCTGGACCTACCCTTTCTGAAGGAACTTTGGTTAATACTTCAACCTCGTTGGTTGAGGGGAAAAATTCAAATCCTTGGGAAGTCACAACCATCGAGGTT